TTGCATAGTCGCCATCTCGGATTTAAACACTCTTTTGTCCTTGCACCCAATCTACCTTAGTCCTTAGCGATGAGCCTGCAGAAAGGGGGGTGCAGTAACGAGAGCCAGCTGTTTGCTGCAGCTCCAGTAGGGGAGCAGGTCAGAGACCCTTTTGCAGGAAAAAGAACAATTTCATAAGAAAAATTCAGGAAAAGAATAAAGATGAATGCGTACAAGTCTTAACCTGCCCACAATTCAAAGTGCTTATGTTAAAGCCTCTGAATTAAAACTGAAAACTTGAGCAGATTAATCTTATCTTTCAAATTATTAAACTTTTTCCTCCAACCATCAAAAAAGCAGATCCACTACACATATGTTCAAACAAAAGGCAAGGGCCGGGAAGAGTGAGGACTTACCCTTTCATTCTCATCGGGCTTTTCACTCTGCCCGTCCCCATATACCTGGGCATACAGCCTCCAGATTTCTCCGTCATTAGTCACTCTAGAAGTTACTCGGCCAAACAACTCCTGCAATCTTCCTTTGAGGCCGGTTGCAACATCTCCACTTCGATCAGTCATCCCATCGATCACTGCTCTCACAAGGATTCTAAGAACCTTAAAAAAATGCACAGAAGAAACCAGTAAGCTAGAAACAACCAAATAACAAAAAACAAAGGGCTACTATCACCATCATCAACGGCAATGACAATGATAAACCTTGTGAGACCTGTCAGACGATCATCCTTACACCTTTTAAAAATAAAAGTCAAGCCATTATGAACCACTCTGCAGAACTGCATGCTGACCACCTTGCTATTCAGGCTCCTCGGAGGGCTCTCCTCTCCCAGGGCCCTGTCCCAGGTGCTCTCCTCTTCTCACTCTGATTGCCCTCTCTGAATGCTGTGATCCACACCTGTAGCTTCTTATATAGCCTACTATGTAAGAAGCTTCTCATAAAGTCTACTCCGATAGTGTCGGCGCAGCTCCAGCCACACTCCTTTCTGGAGCTCCGTGACTGTGTACCTCAATCCCTACCAGGCATGGCCAATCAACACCTCGCACTCCACCTATCCAGGAGTGGAACGTAGATCCCAGATCTTCCTTCTGTACTCTCAGAACCAATAGCTTTAGCATCAACCTAGATTCACTTCTCTCCCATTTCAGCCACATGTAATTGATTTGATTCAACGTTCCTAATGAGTCCTAAACCCAGCCTCTCCTACATTAGATTAGGCCTCATTACTTTCCATCTGGACTGCTGTGGTAACATTCTAACTGCTTAAAGAGGTCCTGGCCCTTGCTCACTGTTGAGTGATAAGCTGCTGATGCATTTGCATTAGGCATGTAGAATACCCAGGAAGTATCTCTTGGCCTTCCAACTACCCCAGGTCCGCTCAGCACTTAGCTATCTCACTTTTCAAAGACTTTTTGGCTATCTTGCTTTTCAAAGACTTTTACACATTCTATCCCAGATGCTTTGAATGCTGATAGATGGGCTGAGCCCCAGAGCTGGTTATATTGTCCTGAGAAGACATATCTTTCCTATCTATATTAGACCATGTATCTCAAGACAATTTCCTGGAGCATAGAAAGTACATCTTTAATCATCTACTCCTGTGATGGAGGAGCAGTAAAGATACCTGGATCCACCTAAAGAACCAGCATGAGGAGAACACTCTAAGACCTTGCCCGTGGGCTGACACATTGGTACCACCCAGGAGCTTGTTAGAAATGCAGAACCCTGGATGGAGATGTTAATCCATCCTGGACTGAGATTCTGCATTTCTAACAAGCTCTCAGGTGATGTGGATGTTGATGGTCCACAGACCAAACTTTGAGTTCCAAGGTTCCAAGAGACAGGGTACCCACATCTTTATTCTTACTCTGAACTTCAGCGAGAGGACATTTCATCACCTGTATGTATCACCAGGGTCTAATACAGTGCCTAGCATACAGCACTGACTCAACGAATACATCTGCCTGAACAAAAGACTGAACAAACACACCTCTTTCAGAAAGCGGCGCTAAAAGAAAAGCAACCATTGTCCACCTTGCTTGTGCATTTGACCCATGCGTGAGACGCGGCTGAGGAAACGGGCTCCTCTGGGCCGGGAACACTTTTAGGGACGTGAGCTCTGGCTCACGGTTCTAATTACACACAGTGATAAAAGCAGACAGGAGAACATTCGATTGTGCTTTTCCATTCTTGTCTGGATAAGGTCCATTATCACTGCCTGTAAATTCACATCACGATCTCATATATGTAGTTTTAAATCTGAAAGTAATGAAATTCAGATTACAATCCCACTCATGATTTTAAGTATGAAAGTAGAAGTGTATGAACATGCACGACTTGTTTCAAGTGATCAATCTGTATACTTTTCAAGAATTAACATGTTTTGAAAGGAATGATCTATCAAAGTATTTACTAACATGTACAGGTGAAGAAAGATAAAGCAGTAAAATACTTTTTTCCTGGGATCTCACAGTTGGCCCTACATCCCCTCCCCTCACTGTAGCCTGTATGAGGAGACAATGGAGGAGAGAAAAGTTTTGGTTTCTCAAAAAAACTGAAGAGCTGCAGTGCTGGTGTTGGAGAGAGGAAAAGCTGGTGGAGAGAAAGAGAGAGAGAGTGTGTGTGTGTTTGGGGGTGTGTGAAGGGAACAGGAGAAGGTAGGGAGGCAGAGTGTCTGTCTGTGTGTTATGGGGGCAGGATATAGTGAAGGGAACTGTGGGTAGGCGGACACCAAACACCTCTACCTAATTCACATGCAGATCAACAAGAGGGTGATGGGACCTTGACTAGGAGTAGAAGCAAGGACAAATCTGTTTTCATACTCTCTATTGGCATGTTCAATGGCCAATTAAATAGCTAGATTTGGAGCTTAGAAGAGAGTTCTCTATGAATGAGTAGATAATAGAAGCCATTCACGGCCACGCGATGTTGCCTAAAGAGACTATGTTGGGTAAGAATCAGACTGAGGACAGAATCTAAAGGAAACCGATATTTAAGAGGAGGGAAGACAAACAAAGGCCTCGGCACTGACGACACTAAAAAGGAATGCTCAGAAGGGTGGGAGAAAGTCGTGCTGTGAAAACTAGAGAAAAAGAAAGTCACAAGGAGAATTCATCTGCAAAAGATCAGGATGGAAGATTCCACTGGGTTTGGTAATTACAAGGGTAGTGACTGTAACCAGAACTGAGCCAGGACCAGGAGGGCAGGAGAGACTGTGATTTTGAACAAGAGGATTACACAAAGAGAGAACATGAAAACCAAGATGACTAGTAACATCATAAAAAAACAAAAAGCAAAAAAACCCCAATCATAGTACCTGCAACACCCATTTTGAATATTATTTGTATAGGCATAGAATGGTAATAGAAAATATTCATTTGACAAAAATAATTAATATAAACATATTGGGAAGATAAGAAAGAGAAGTAGCAAAAATGTCAGTATAAGAGAGTCAAGTCCTCATTTATTATAATAGGATGTCAAGTGATAATACCTAAATTTAGTTAATAAAAAAGAGCCATACATAACTATTATTATGAAAATGTGCAAATGGAAAAAGAAATACTAAAGCATTTCTTCCCTTTGGGGAGAAGGATCTTGAAAAGTGAAAAGAGATAAAGCAGAGAATTGTTATATTTTGTTATAAGCCTTTTACTGCTACGTAACTTGTAAAACTGTATGTATGTGTTGTGTTAAAAAAATAACAATTTAATTTAAAACAGAGAAAAGGCAAAAATAAATACATTCAAAGATTGGCAAATATGAAAAAAATGATGGCAACATGAATATTCATTTATTCCATTTTACTTTAAAATTAAGTCCTTGGCATGTGTGGGTGAGGGGGCGGGGCTGGGGTGCGGGCTTTGGGAGAAGTGGGAGTGAATGAGCTCACTCATGCTCTGGGGGCTGGAACAAAGGTGCGTCCCTTTGTGAAAATTCATGTGTTCTGTATACTTTTCTGTATGTACAATATATTTTAATAAAAAGTTAAAAAGTTGTTTCCTGAAATTAAGAAAGCTCCATGAACTGAAGGAAAAAATAGTTATTAAAATACATTAACAAATGGAGCTAATATGTCATCTTTAAAAAATGGTTTTAGAGTGATAACGATTATTTTTTAAAACCACTAGAATAATTTTATAATTTTCCTTTTAGCATTTTCCTCCCACTAACTAGTGAGAAAAATCACATCCTAGTTATCCAGACTGACTACAAAAACAATAACTTTTAACACATATTTAACCATTCTTTAAGAAATAGGTATTTGTGATTTAAAAAGAGCAAAGGGTGTTGCAGTAGAATTTCTTCGATTAAATAAATCACCAAGGGGTACAATTTCCTCTTGGGCCATCCACAAATTTTACCAGTATTAAACTCCTTTGCATCATCAAAAGTGAAAAAATATTTTTTTAAACAAGTAAGTGCCTTTATCCACTGTAAATTGGATAAAAATGGATAAATTGTTATGATTCTTGAATCCATAAGAAAATAGTTAAAACTATAAATTACTAAGTGTGTAACAAGAGGCTGAAGGGTAGAATATTGAAGTTTAAGAATTTAGAGATGGAATAATTCTTGGGGAAACAGAGTCCAAGATATGGCCACTTGGATGGGTTACTTATACGGAATAAGATATGACAAAGAACTTTCAGTGCAAAGTACTGGACGTACCATCGACCTATACACTAAGTATTCCAGAACAGCTAGATCTAGAGAGGAGAGGAAGATCTATATCGTCAGATGCTGAAGTGCACCATGAATATGGGGGAGAGGCTAGCAAGTTGGTAAGTAGCAGTAATGAGGACAGGTCTTCTTTCTACTATGTCACAGGACCGTTGTATCAGAAGTCAACACACAAAAAAAGAGCTTCGAAACTGTAAAGCAATATAGACCTATAAACTGATTATTATCGTCGACCTTCAACTTCCTTACTCTGTTAGAAGTGGACAGCAAAACCCTCGTTGTTGGCCCACTCACTATGGGCCTCTACATTTCCTTTTTCCAATATTTGTTGAGCAAAGATCTTTCCTTTATAAGATATTTAATTTTTTTTCTTAATTTGGATTGAACTCATTTTTCCCAATGTCAAAGCGTTATGGTTATTTTTCATGACAGAGATTATATAGCACACAAGGTGATGGACTAACATGTCGCTAGCTCCTTTACCTGAATCCCAACTCTGTACATTGCTTGAAAAAAGAGAAAGTCATAGATCTGAGAAAATAACAGAAAACAAGTCAGAAACCCTGGGGAGACAGAAACTGGCTGCGTTCGGTATAGCGGAGATCAGTGGACCAGGCTGGAAAAGTGCCTAGGTGATAATGTTCATAGATGGGCTAAGAAAAGCTTTTTGGTTGTGCCTTTCTTCCTTCCACACACTACTCTACATGCCACTTGCTATCAGCATGGAGACTGTGCCAGTTCAGTGCAAGCCATCAGGACAAAGGGCCTGGCTAAGACAGCAACAGATCCAGGAGGCCTGGCTTGTCCCCCACAGGCTGAGGTCAGATGACTACTCTGGAAAATGGACATTGGAAGCGTATGGTGCCTGGCAGAGATAGGGGAGGTGTCCTGAGCAGCAGGGCCACTTGGTGGTGGT